ATAGACTCTAATGCCATTTCTTCATAGTATTCCATGTATATATTCGCCGTTGCTGGTGATAATGGCGAGCCCATTGCTAAGCCCTCATCCTGTCGATATATGTGTGATCCCATTTCGAAGTGTGTTGTTTGTGTACAGAAAGTCAACATCTCCATCAGATTATCTATTGGAATACTGGTCCGCTCCTCTAGGGACGAGTCAGAGGTCAATCTATCTCTGACTACTGAGAGTGCCTCCTCCGTGGGTACCTTGGTGAACAGACTCACCACGTCCAAACTCACCATCTGGTTGGATAGGATGGGAGCCTCTTTGATTATTTCCACGAAGTGGGCGGAGTTTCGGACTTATGAAGGAGACTTTCCGATCAATGGGTCAATTATATCTAAAAGGAAGCGACTTAGAGGGTGGCACACAGAGCCTCGGCAACTAACAATCGGCCTGAGTGGAATACCGTCTTTGTGAATCTTAGGGAGACCGTATATGTGAGGTAGCTTGGTGTAACGCTGCGATAACTGCCTATACGTCTTGGGTGCGAAGTGATCCTTGTTCTTGATTATTTTATATATATATATATATATATATATATATATATATATATATATATATATATATATATAGTGGTTGGTGAGGTTGTGTTATGTTTATCGCGCTATATATACGTTGTACGGACGCTAAATTTTAAATTTCTGGCGTTCAACGTGTCTAGACGTAGAATCCAATCGTTTTCATTTGTTTTCCCAACGCTTACAGTCTTTTTTTTCATAACCCTTGTTTTTAAATACCCCATGCTGGCCCCACAGATGATTTGTTAAGAAAGGCGAATTGTTGTAAGTACCAGAACACAAATTTCAAAGACTGAGAAATTAGCGCATTTTCTATACCATTTCGCCTTAGTAAGTTACTTTATCTCTTACTTTACCCGCTTTTAAATCAAAATCATGATCACATTTATTACGATGAATGAGTTATATATTGATTATGTTGCTCTGTGAAAAAGCTCTTTTGTCTTCATATAATTTAATTCCTTAGAAGTCTAGTCTATAAATTTTTGGTGACAATTATTACAGTTTTATGGCATAAATTCCTACTCTATATTTTAGATTATTATTATTATTATTTATCTTGTTTCGTATTAATTTTATTATTGTTTTAGAAGTTAATGTTCTGTTAGGTTTAGATACATTCTTTCATTTGTAATTTTGATTGAATTAATAGATAATATTATGTATCCAGTTTTATGAAGGTTATATTTATCGTTAATTATAACGCAAATCTCTTTAATTAGGAATTGAGCGCTCTGGCTGCTGATTTCACCTTTATATACATCACGTATATAATACGTTAAAAGATAGCTTAGGTGTAGTATCGCAGACTGATGGAATATCGGCCGAGTTTCTTCGAACCCGGCTTGAAACAATCGAATGCCTAGCCATATTGATGAGCTGTGATACAGCGAAATAGACTTGCATATAATATATATATAATAATGGACTCTCCCGTCGATTTCGACGTATGAAGATCTGACTGCTTATTGATTCAGTTATGAAAGTTTGTGCATAATCTTAAGTGGCATTTAAGGCCCGCTAGTGATTTACAAAGGAGGCCACATATGGAGCAAGTGCGAGGATTGTGTGAGTGTGATATATATATATATATATATATATATATATATATATATATATATATATATATAATTGTCTTCATTAGGACTGAACAGCCAAACTATCCGCATATATGATTTGATTACAGTGGAAAAGGTTTGTGCAGAATCATCTATGTTTTTCGGAATAACCGAACATAGAGAAATCGTGCATACAGTGTGCAGGAAAATCTCCAAACGACACTCTTTGAATTCAGAGTAACCTTTCTCATAGACTAATTGACGACCAAAGCTGTCCTACTATTTAACCCATAGCTAGGGGCAGACGGAAAGAAGAAATAATTCCTTTCCTAAGGGTATTTAGGCATAAGTGAATGTACAGATCTCGAATGTAATTCAATTTGGATATTCTGATCATTCATTACGGGTCGCTATTCAGTAGAGCACTTCCACTTCCACACACAAACACACACACACGCACACACGCACAGACATATATATATATATATATATATATAATATATATATATATAATTTTTCATCAATTGTTCTTTCAATTTAAAATAATAATACAGTGAAAGAAAAAGTTAATGAAATTAGAAAAACGTACATAAATATCTGAACAACCTTAGATAGATATGAACAAACTGAAATGGATAGATAGATGTGAACAAACTGGTAGAAAGATAGTGTTATGGTGAAACACACCTATTCTATAGTTAATAGACTCTCCCACCTAATATAAGTAGGACTAGTAAGAGAAACGAAGGTCAGTCGGTGTCGGACGACAGTAGTCGACACTTAGTCGAATACGAAAGTAGTCAGCGACCACAACAAGATTACTCTGCGTAATACCTATTATATCAAGTTCCTAACGTTTTGTACGTCGAACTATTTTAGGACAGATTTAGTACAAATACAAGCCTCCACTGCGAAATAACTCCACAGCAACTTTGGCGACGAGGATTCAAGCTCATACGGAGGAAGAAAAATTTCGCTCGCCACAATATCTTCGGCGACAAAGTCTCGGATTTACACTTGGCAAAGTTTTTCGCAAGCCAAGACGTCAACTTAATGACGAAAAAATCTGTCGTATTCTCAACTGAGAAAAGAAATATTTTTCCCGATAATACAGTTTGCTCAAATAGGTCACGAATTGCTCTCTACAGTATTTAGGCATTGTGTAAACTTTTTGCGAAGATGGAGAAATGCAAAAATATATTCCAGTCGGAACAACAGATGACAATATTAGAGCAACAAAAAACATTCCAGATGAAGCTACAGGAGGAAACTTTTAATAGACAAATGCAATTCCAACAAAAAATGGAACAGATACATAGGCAGTTTCAAAACAATATTCTGGAAATAACTGAGAAGAGGAAAGAGAAAAATCTACAAAATGATTCTTTCCCAGAGAATACAATATGGAATTCAATTGAAATATTCACGTACAGTCCAGATGAAGAGATAACTTTTGAGGAGTATTATAAAAAATATACGGACGTGTATGACGAGGATTGCCACTCGTGGTCTGAAGGAAAGAAGGTTAGGCTGAGCATAACAAATTGGTAAACTACATTTTACCGAAAAAAACTAACGAGTTGACATTTACCGAGGCGGTAAATATATTAAGTGAATTATTTAGTAAAAAGACATCTTTGTTTCATAAGAGGTGGAAATGTTTGAATCTGATGAAAGATGACGAACAAGATCGCACGCCAATGTGAATAAGCATTATGAAGAATTCAAGCTGGCAGAGTTAAGCGCAGACAATTTTAAGTGCTTGGTGTTTGTTCAGGGGCTGGTATCGGAAAGAGACGCAGAGTTGAGAAAATTAGTACTGGCAAAATTTGAAAGCGATCCAAGTATTACGGTACAGAAATTAGCAGAAGACTGCACAAGATATGTTAGCGTAAAGAAAGATTAAAAAAAGATAGAACAGTCTGGCGTTTCGCATGCAAGGAAAATACGCTACAAAGAAGAAAGTCAGTCTACCAAAAAGAATTCTAAAATTGCGGATTATCAAGCGAAAAGTGAAATACCAGAGAAAAATAAACAAAAACTTCCGAAGTTTTTTTTTTTTTTTTTTTGTTTATTCTTCATATTTCCTGTAAAAAAAATAAAGAAAGAAAACTGTTTTACTCCTACTGAGTAAAGTTTTAGGAGGGGGGTATTATGGTGAAACACACCTATTCTATAGTTAATAGACTCTCCCACCTAATATAATTAGGAGTAGTAAGAGAAACGAGGGTCAGTCGATGTCGGACGACAGTAGTCGACAGTTAGCGACCACAACAAGATTACTCTGCGTAATACCTATTCCTAACGTTTTGTACGTCGAACCTATTTTAGGACCGGTTTAGTACAAATACAAGCCTCTACTGCGAAATAACAATAGATAGATAGATAGATAGATAGATAGATAGATAGATGTGTGTTTGGTTGTGTTTAACTCATTGCATCTATTTTATTACAACCACCAGTCATACTTCAAATCTATTCGGTAAAAGAAAGAAAAATGAATTTAGAGAAGTAGAGAATGCAAAAATGTATGGGCTGGGGGTCTGCACTTCTGTTGACCAAGCGGTTTGGTTTGTCTCTCCAGTGAACACTGCCTGCAGCTGATCAACAGACATAAGCAGTACGCAATGGAATTGGACAGACCCAGGATAGACAGGCATCATATGCCGGTGCTTCGTGCGAACAGTGAACTCTTTAGGGAATTAGTACAGATTCTGAGACAGAAAGTGCGTACGACAGAGAAAAGACGAACAATAAAAGAATGGTAGAAAGAAGAGGAAAAGAACAAAATCAAAACAAACTGTTTTTTTTGTTTTTGTTTTTTTTGCTTATAATCTTGACTTTCTTCTTTTGTTCGTTAATGTTTTATGTTAATTGTTTTATTAATTATAAATTAAGTATTTTACTAAGAGTAAACATTTAAGAATTGCTACAAAAACAAACATGTTAAAACGAAACTCGTGGAACCAATAGCAAAAAGATTTTTTTATATATTTACCATAAAGTTGTAAATCAAAAAATAGGACAGAAAAGGTATTTTATATCTCTCTCTATCAAGAGCTTAAAATTTTTCACCAGCCAATAAATTAGGATATACAAAAATTGGATGTATTTTAAATGTATTATCATTAAATGATAGCATTATTGTTATACATATTTATTGTCAACAAAGTCTGAAAGGAGGAATATTAAAATGAAACGACAAGAAAGATTTACAAAAAGATTGCAATTACAGAAAAGTGGTAACCTGTGCAGAGAATAAAAAACTATCTCTCTAGCGATCTATTTATTCGGATAGATAGATAGATAGATAGATAGATAGATAGATAGATATTAGCAGACGAAAATAAATATGAACAGACTTAGATAAACATGAAAT